TGAAAGCACAGGCAGAACCAAGCTGATCACGTCGTCCTGTCTGCGACGTTAAAGAATTCTTGAGGAGTTACGGGGGATCTCCTTAAATGCCTCCTAATCAGCCACTGGTTCAGTAGTGACAGCCATAGTGTAGGTCTAGGCTAGAGACCATAGTTGACAGGGTCCTTGTCAGGATTTTGTAAGTCTTAGATTGAGTCTACAGGTTTGTCAGTCAGGGGTTAGAGTCTACGTGGTGAGGAGTAGAATCACCTTGATTGTGCACCTATCACCATGGTTGAGACCCGTACTGGGCTAGAGACTAACCCCTATAGCAAGGAGCAGCAAGAAAAGATGGCCGCCTTAGTCAGAGAGAACAAGGAGAGAAAAGAGCGCGAGAAGCAGGCGAAGCTAAAGGCTATCGCAGATGAGGCGGCGAAGATGAAGAGGTTGGAGGAGGAGATGAAGAGGGTACAACAGGAGGAGGAAGAAAGAAGGAAGGCTGCTGAAGCAGAAGCGGCAGCAGAAGAAGAGAAAGAGAGAATGATAATTGAGAGTGGAGAAGGGAGTAGTGGTGGCACGATGAAGTGGGAGACAGATACTGAGATGGAGAAGAAGATCAGCGAATGGATCGCTAATTTATCGTTGGGGGAAGACGAGGAGGTAGGGTCATATGTGACTAAGGATGAGAAGGCTGCGCTGGCCGCTGAGCTAGCAGCCATGACAGACCCGATGGAACGAAGAGAGTGGGAACACGAGCAAAAGTTAGCATGGAAGCTGAGAATGAAGAGGGAGAAGAAGAAGAGGAGAGAGGAAGTGAATAAGATGTCCGCAGCAGTAGCAAAGGTGCAGGAGTGTAGAGTGGAGGTGCTGGCCCAGCCAGATGAGAAGGCCAAGTGGGACAAAGTACTGGGCTATCTAGAGGTGTTGCGCAAGGCCTGGATGGAGGAGCGCCAGGCAAGCTGGAGCCAGGATGTAGCGTTGAGTGCCATGCGGTACGGGTTCAGGGATTTTGCGCGCAAAATCGTCACCCACATTGGGAGCAAAGTCAAACAGTTGAGGGACAATGTAGGGAAGTTTTGTGAGGGCGCCATTCAGGGTGCCAAAGCTGCAACCGCTGTAGAAGGAGAGGCCAGACCCCGTAAGGACCCAGTGAAACTTAAGTTCCCAAACGCGTACGGGGGAAAGAAGGACGAGAACTTTGACAACTGGGAGGCCAGTGTCAATAGTTACATTTATTTACAGCATATCCTGGTAGAGGAGCAAGTCCTCATGGCCTTCCAGGCCCTCAAAGATGAAGCGGCTAGCTTTGCCAGGTCTCTTGCGCGTACAGCCGGTTGTGAAAACAACCTGGTTGCATATTCCAAAGTCACTCCTCTTTCCCAATTCTTCAAGCTCCTCAAGGAGCGGTTCGCTGATCCAACGCGAGGCATTAGGGCCTCTGATAAGCTCCAAACGATCCACTCCCGGCAGTGGAGGAGTGCCAAGGCACTCAAGGGTACTATGGACGACTTGGTAGCCGTCTCGGACCATGGGGTCACTGAGCCCCAGCTGGTCCAGTTGTTTTATCGTGCCATTCTAGAGGCCCTACGCGGGCATTTCTTTGACAAATCTCAGCAGGCCGACATGACTTACAATGCATTGAGTAGAGAAGTCGTCCTGTATGAGTCGAAGTCTATGCCAGTTACCACTTTCTGGCATAAGGACCTGGAGAAGGGGAAGAAGTGGAAAGATCGTACCATCTCGGGCCAAGTCAAGGCCAAGGATCACTTGATCCTGACATTAGAGGAGGGTGGTACAAAAGAGGTCCTATATGATCAGATAGAGTGGGGCCTAGGGGAGGAGTACAGTAGTGTAGGGCAGGGGAGGTCTTACGCTGCTGTCGCGGTCGGAGGGAGGCCGCAAGGTAGAGGAGGAGGCCAGGGCCAAAGGGGCCAGGCCATGGGAGGCCGAGGACCGGGTGCACATGGGGTTGGCGGACAGGGAAACCGCCAAGCGGGAGGTAGGGGTCAAGGTCCCCCGTTAAATCGCCAGGGGAACCGATCCCCACAGCGAGGAGGTGGAAGGGCACCTCAAGGAGGATGGCATCCAGGCTTGCCGCACGGCAGGCCCTGGGAAGACTTGGGCTTGGACTAGCGATTATGGCAGGAACGCGTGAACATGGGTCAGTGCGTATTCTGCGGTGACCCGGCGCACGTAGTAAAATTTTGTCCAAAGTATAGACAGGCCCGTTGGGCTGCTCAGCAGTCAAAAGGCAGCCGCCAGTAGGGGTCGCGACTGCCCCTCCTTTCAAGCCATATGGAGAAGTGAGCGCGCGCGAACAGGACACTCCCAACCCACATAAGCCTATGGCAGAGGTTGCAGGCCCGTGCCTAGATAGCTGTCCAGAGACTGCTTGTGTTAGCGTCTCTTTAGGCACGTCCCTCACAGGTGTGGCATAAGAGTTAAA